AAAAGTAGAACACCATCCTCATCCCATAGGAACAACCTTTATCCCCTTCACGTAATTTATTATACACAGCCGGGTGAACTCGTGAGAAAGTTTCAGATAAGTTCATATCTTAGAATTTCTTACACCTAACGATCTTTTTCTACCTATAAGTTTTAAAACTATATAAATATTATATTATACCATTGTGGAGTGATGTAAAATATAAACATTATGTAGGTTATCAATAATTATAACTTTCTTCGTTTATTCTGACATTACAATGGCTTTAGACTAGATGTTAATGTGCAATTAAAGAATAATTTTTTTAAATCAAGCAGCAGATTGTATACCATTAAAATTAGATTTACCAAAAAGAATGGATAGAAGAGTCATCACTTAGGTGTAGCTTATTGCAGAAGTGAAAAAAATATCTTGAATGACCCAACAAAATTGAACTCGTAATCTCCAACGTCAACAGAGGACATAATATACTATATTAGGTAATACACAGCATACCCAATAAAAAAAAATTTGGAACTTGCATTAAAATACTCTACAATAAAAGGAATTTCAACTAATTTCCTCTGTCCTGGGAAAAATCTATTTTTCCAGGACAAAATAATATGAATTCATTTACCCAGAAATCAAGCACCGTTTACTAAAATTTTCAGGAAAACGCATAGCTTATTAGTTATCAATGTATAATTTACAATGTTAGTATAACCTATGCCAGGTAAACGATTTTGTTTGGATCAGGGAGCATCAATTTGTTTTTATTCTTGTTATATCCTAAACATACAAAGTAGGCCGGTTGTTCTGAAATTGTGTACTCGATAAAACAAATGTTCATTACCGGCGATATGAAGTTTAAATTAATTATGGATAATGTTTATCGCACCTAATAATAGATTTTAACTGGATCTACAGTTTGGTGGCTAGCATGTACGGCTGCAGATTCAGGGGTCCTACGTTCGAGTTTTAGTTGTTGTCTTGTTTCTTTCTGAGTCAGTAACAGCCCAAAGTAGGGAATTTAGCGGTGTTTTGTCAGTTCTATACCTGTTCTCTCGCTGGTCATGTAGAATTATCGTCTCACCGGAGTATGAGAGTGATAGGAATTGAGAGTTCACTGGTGTCTGCGCGTAGATTTGTGCGTATTAATCTCCTGCGCATCTGGCTAGCCTCAGTGAAATTGGCCGTCGTTGCCGAAATCGGTCAGAAGGACATCATCATCAAAATCATCAGATTATAGAATACAAGCAATACTCGTGGATTTGTCTATATTGAAATATAGCCAAAAAAACTAGGCAAAATTTTCATATTATGTATAAATGACGTATAAGCAACCTTTAATACAAAATTTGATTTAATAATTTTGAATTCTTTCAATAAAAAAATAATATTCCATAGCATATTTAATTTTGTAAACAAAATAACATTAAATAACAAACAAAAAATCTAATAAATGTAAACAGAGCACGTAGAAAAGTGTTTCTTAAAAATTTTCGGGATAATGACTGAAAAATCTCACCGTGAAAAATAACTGGAGTCAAAAGGGTGTGCGTCCATGAATGATTTATGAGGCACGAAGAATCAAAGGTTAGGATGAATATTTTAATTTGGAAATGTTTCGCTTTTTGAGAAGCTGAATGTCTTGTGTAATGTCGTTTGTTTAGCGCTCCTTCCATTTTGCTAATAGATCTTAATGTATTACGTCTTTCTACGATTGAGCAATTTTTGGAATTTTCTTCAAAGAAGAAAGACTGTATATATTAATAGTTATAATATATATTATGAATTGTAGATTTTTTTATAAGAAGAATTTGTTTGATATCCTCAGTTATTTAGTCGTAATAAACATCAAAATGCTCGGCGGTCAATTTTATTCAAAGAAACCATGTGCGCGGTAGAAATTATAGTGCACAAGTATACGTGTAACAGTGCACGATATAAGTTTAAGTCAGTATGGGATGAAAATTTGACAAAATTGTACATACTAGCCACTGGACCAGCGAGACAGGAAAAAATACAAATACATAATATGTTTATGAAATATGTAGAAATTCACTCATGGTCATGACTAACTTTTTGTGAATTTATTCTATTGAAGCATAACACAATCTTCGTTTTAACGTATAAGAATTTATTCTTGTGTAACTTCTTAAAAATAAATTAATTCATTTAAGAAAATTGACTAACTTTATCCCACAGGCTTGTTCAGACTTAGACTTTTTTAAACACTGTAAGGATGGATGTTTATTACTCCAGAACGGCTGGAGGGATCTGGATAAAATTTGGCACAGAGATAGATTATAGTCTGGAATAAGACATATATTACTTTTTATCCCGGAAAAAAGTACGGCTCCTGTAGGATAGATTTGTTTATGTCCACATTTTCATAATTTGACCTAAACCCAGAGGTTAAAATGAGACGCCTGCCTGTAAAACAAAATTCAGCTACAAATAAACAGCTATAGCATGACCATATATGTACCTACAAACAAACGGACACGACGAAATTACAAGGGTTCCATTTTTCCTCTACGGAATCCTAAGACTGTGCTTCATTCAAGAGAGAAAAATTAACAAATAATTTTACATTTCTACTATATTTTGCTGTATTTTTCAATTGCATCATACATCCTGACCGAAGGATAGGAATACGTATTTATTATCGAGGATACCGTTAATTTGATTTGTGACAACGATATGCAATGAAACGCATTGTTATGAATCCACTGGAGCAAATTAAAAAGCTATTTATTTTACACTGATCTATGCATTTGCAGATATAATAATTATAATACATATCTTGATTTAATAGTATGTGATTTATTATATACTAAAGTTTTTTTCTTTCTGTTGAAGTACAATGTTAATACATACTTTATTAGAATATAGTATTTTTTGTTAGTTGCTTAGGATCTTTTGGTTGGCAACACTTGTGCGAAAGAGATAGTGCATGTAAAATTATTTTTTGTTTCAATAACTTATCATTCTCGTATCTTGTGTCACATATTATAAGTAGTACATCGTGCAATTAAATCTATACATATAATAAAATTGTAAGTCGAATCTGTACATTATTATTTTTCTTTTACATCTAATTGAAATAGACATTATTATCGATATAGAGTCCGAATCTATAGTTTTAGATTTTTTGTCTGTCTGTCTGTTACCGCATCACGAGAAAACCACTGGACAGATTTTGATGAAATTTGGCATGATGATAGCTGGTTATCCGGGTCAACATATAGGATACTTTTTACCGCGGGAAAATATCTCATTTCTGAGAAAAAATACAAAAACTGCAATGTAAGAGTATACTAATATGTACAGCCTAAGAATTTGGTTTTTGGTCATCTGAACGCGGGCGGAGCCGCGGGCAATGCTAGTAATTAATAAAACGTCTAGACTTTGGTTTAATCAATTTAAAACGTAACAACACTTAACATGTATAGATCATTTGACCATTTAAGGGTAGAACTCATTTTTCTTAATTTCTAAATAAAGGAGACATTATAAATTATTAAAAAACGTGTTACAGAAGACAATAAAATTAAACATTTTTTAATTTAAAGTCATAATAGTCTCTTATACAATAAACAAAATTATATTCGCAAAATGTCCGTGAGAATTGTTAGACAGACTACCTTAGGTGTATTTAAATAAAAATGTAAATGTTGGTTTATGCAAAACCGTAAATCTCCGAAAGTTCTCGAACAATTGCTTTGAAATTTTACTCTGCGTCGTTCATTAAAGTGGACGAAGTCGAAGCCAAAAGCTAGTTGGCAAAAATAATAAAATTTAGAAGTAAAAGGTGTAAACTAGGTACTCTAATACCACCAGGTAAATTTCTAAGAAATTAATTAAACTATTAAATCTATTGTAAACTGTAACGCCAGCGTGTCCGCGGTCGTGCAGGACTAATACAATACATAATGTATCAAAAAACCACATGACAATTTTTCTTTCAAAATGTCTTTTAAAAAAAAAGGTATAAAAGTAAGTAAGCATAAAAAAAATATAATATTTTTTGTGAAGACATCCTCTGAGACTGCCAGTCAGATTTGAAAAATTCTTTCTCCATTTTACTGCCTACTTATTGATTAAGGTTTATACATCACGCTTTGATCATATAATAGAAATCATATATGAATAAACTATGCGGATAGAGCACCGAACAAATGCTAAAATAATATAATATGTAGAAATAGAAACAAATTAGAATTACCAAAAACTCGAACCAAATACAGAAATCAAACTACTCTCTTTGAAGGAGCACAGCTATACAATTCATTACAAAGATGTAAGAGACGCAAAATCTATTAAAATATTTAAGAAAAAATAATGAACATTTATAATAGCAACATACTCGTAACTTTTTTATACACGATTTTTCTAATATCATATTATTTCTATTCAGTTTTGGGAAATAAATGCCTTTTATACCTTTCTACAACAAACCAATAAGCGAATATTGGCAAAAACACTACCAGAATTATGAAAATTTATATCTTTTCCTACTTTCTCTATTGAGCCCAAGTCTATCAGTACTGATGCATTAAATATTATCAGGTTTGACAGACGGTTGGGTTTCAGGGTTCATTTGAGGCTTGAAGGGCGGAACACGTACAGTATCTACGTGAAGTGCTTACTAAGATACAACCAGTATTCAATGCAAGATGTCCATGTTTGTACAGTTAAGTCTATACAAGAACCGCAAGCATACTGAGATCTCAATTTAGAAACGGATAGTAACAAATACAACCTTTATTGTGTTAAAATGAAAATAGTTTAATGCTGTTATTGCATTTTAAAATGTATTTTACACATTTTATTCTTTATTTTCAAAAAAACAATGGAGCAAAAAATACCCCCAATTCACAATTACATTTAATTTTAATTTTTTTTTTTTTAAAGCTTACTTCCATTATAATGATTTTATTTAGATACTCTATCTATCGTCTCATGGCTTATGAGCCGGAAAGTGACAAAGGTTTCTTTTTGCCTTGATACATCAAATGGTCCTCATGGGACATCAACCTGTTACCGTAAGTTTTTAATAGAATTTGCATCTTTTCCTAATTTCCATAAAAACCGAAAGGTTTAAACCCCATTACCTCAGTTGAAGGTTTTGAAGTCGGATCTAAGACCTTAATGATTTAGCAAAGTTGGAAATTTCCAATTGCTTTTATTAATCTACGTATTTAATTCAACCTTCCATCCTTTACAAACCTTTTCTTTATCCTCAATCGAAAAGCCTGTATTTATGACTCTTTGCAAAGTATTTTCTTGGCTGTAAAAGTACCAACAAATTGGTTCAGTCATTTCGAAGACATAAATAAAAACATACATTCTAAAATTTAAAAATCTGAGATAATCGTCACTGTAAAAGAGTAAAAAGCAGTTTTTAAATAATTATTTTTTAACTTAAAATTTATACTAATTTTAATATTTATCATTTTTTTAAATTTATACGAGACCATAAAATTTACTTATTCATAATTATTTGTACCTTACTTGTAATCTGTTGAAGATGTTGCCTGACATACATACCTACATAAAAAATAAAAATGAAGTAAAGAGCTTTGAACTGAGCAAAAGCAAAAGAATCGCTAGTAATCCCTCCACGACCGCGGACACGCCGGCGTGTCAGTTAACAATAGATTTCTTAGAAGTTTAATTAATTCCTTAGAAATTTACCTGGAGGTGATCAAATTATAAAGATCTAAATTTGTACAAAGAATATATTTTTTAAATGTATATGTGTACTATATAGAAAGTTTTCAAAACATTTTTTTTCTTTTCTATGTTTATTTGCCATTTCTCATTCTATGTTTATTATTCGTGGACTAAATAGAATAAAACAAACATAATAATATAAGTCTCCATGAACCATAGCGTTCACGTCTTGATTTCTCGACAACATTATTATGGATATTATAACATATACCTATTTGAAGTAAAACTAAAAGTTTCAAAAAACTATTTATAATGTCTGGTACATTACAAATTCAAAAGACATGACATACATATAATATATACGTAAATATACACAACAACCAGATAATCTACAGACTATAGAACACGATCCATTAAAATCGAAAATTATGTTATTTTAACACTGTACTTTATCTAGTTAGTCCGCATTTTAAAATTTTATACGTAATATTCCCATCTAAATAATCAAAATTCTCTGAAGTAATTATAGAATAAATATTAATATTTGGAGCTTTAAAACTCCGAAATAAATATACAAAAATAAAAGGATACTTTCAGTAATTGGATTTCTTTTTGAATGACAAATAAGCCCAATTATTGATAAAGTGATAATTTACATTATAACATTATTTACTATAACTAGTGAGATTTGAATGAAAAACACACTCTAAATATATCAATCAAAATTATACTCTATTTAAAAATAAAATAACAAATTCGTTTAAAGTTTCGTATCTTGGACTGCACGTTTTTTCCTCCTCTCTCGTTGTTTTTTAAAATAATCTATGGACGATCTGTTAAACAAAACTATTATCGCATGTGGAATTAATCTATAATCAAATAAAAAGTTGAAATAGGACAAGAAAGGCACTAGCATAGTTATCGAAATCACTACATCAGAAAGTATTGCTATACCGATCAAAGAAAGAGTACGTGTACCACCAGTGCGTGATATTCTCTTCTTGAAGCACGGAACCACTGATGACATGACCCTCAATATAATGAGAAGATTCAGCAACACTAGGAAGTACGCGCCAGCCACAGAAGCTTCAAAGCTATCCTTTCTTAAACCAAAAATATTCGGAATTACAATTTTTACTAATATCAGCAGGATAGATAGAGTGCCATAACTAAAGGCAGCGGCTTTACGTTTTCCGTAACTAATTTTTCCCGTAACCAAAAACACCAGTCTTACGTACGCCAAGATCGCAGCACAGAGAGACCAGCACAGAGTTGCAGGCAGTAAAATTGAAGATAATGTGACAGATCTCCACAATCCTGTATTTAAATGGATTGCGCACAATTGTAACGTCCCGAAGACTATTTGATGTATACTTATGTAATTATGTAGTGACCGCCATTTTGGATTCAAAATCCACACCAAAATTAAAATAATTGAACACAAAATTGATAAAATTGTTGGTATAACAGACTCTATTAATAACATTTTAAAATAAATCGGCTCTGAAACGCTTATTATATTCGAATGTTTGTAACTAAATAACGTTGTATGAGTATATCCTCTTGGGAACCAGAGTATCATATTTGATACTTGAATTAAAAACATCGTGAAAGCGTCATCTGTTATTTTTTCCTATTTTTTTTTATGTAAGACATAGAGTAGACCTCTAATGATTTATAACTACAATTTTCGTATTTCAAAGTGCTTAAAGTTTAAGCGGGTAGGACAGTTATTTTTCACAAATTCAAAGTTTTCGCCATGTCAACTTTACGTAAGGGTAAGTAATTATTACATTATGGATTCCTAAGTAATTTACTATTGTTTATAAAGGTTAAGCTCTCTTCTTTGTATTTTCCGTAAGTAAATAACGTAAAATTTTATTTTAACGTGAATACCATACGATATAATGAGCATAACAAATGTGATACTTTGGGCACTATTGGAAATAATATTAACCATTTACAATGATTTCCGGTATATCTGACGAAACAATTCACCATGAATTATTGGACTCCAACGTCTCCGATGATGAAAAGAATGACTCTGACGTAGATGAGGATGGCATACAGAACAACGATATAGATAAGATTGAGGAACAGCCAAGTTTGCAGGAACCAAATAGTGATTGCGATTCCTCTGATGATGAGCCGCTTCAACTACTGCTCGTTCAACGAGGCATGTTTCTACAGGTAGGCCAGTAATTTGGAAGCAAACAACTGATTTTAGATCCATTTATATCGCATCCACATCAGGTGCAGTGAAAATCTCTCAGAGAACAACCTGAAGCCTGATTTCGAAAAGATATTGGAATATTTTGAGTGGTACTTAAATGCTGAATTCTTTACAAACATGGATTTTTGTCCAAATGTCATGTCCTTTGTGCGCACAGAAAAATCAGTGAACTCTGCTGCTGCAGAAATTTAACGTTTTTTGGGTGTAGCATGGTTACTGGACTGTTAGGTATGCCAAGGATAAATTAATTCTGGCTTTTAGAAACAAGTGCGACTTAATGGCACCTGCAATGACTAAAAGACGTTATACTGAGATTCGTTCGTACTTAAAAGTCGTAAATGAAGCTGATGTTTTAGAACCTACGCAATCTAATGACTGCTTCTGGAAAATACGATCAATAATTTGATTGAGAGAGCGTGCAGTAAAAATGTTCGCGACAAAAATGTCTCCATCAAAACTCCTCGAAGTCTCCATCGAAACTCCATCGAAGATCTTACCTTACACAAAAAGATGGGTCAAAAAGCAACTGGTGAAAGGTAAACCAATCCTAGAAGGAATAAAACTTTATATCGCAGTGAATTCTGATGATTTACCATTGGATTTATACCTAAAGGTCTAGTAATATCTAAAGTAAAGGTAAAGTGGAATCGGCTTTGTACCCAACACCTGAAAAATTAGTAAGATAGTAGGATGATAGCATTTGCAGGATACCATACCAGTAGGCACTGCAATTTACCTGGATTTTACCTCTTCACCACTTTTGGATATCGTAAGAGAAAGAGTATGTAACGGAATGGCCATTTTAATTTAAAATAAGGTACCGAAGGTTCTATAGCTTTGACTTTTATATGTTAGGAGTGTGATGTATATTTATTATTTATGTTTTAATTTCACTAGGAATTGTTATAAAACTTATCATTAGCATTAAATGTGAAAATTATAGTGATTTAAAAAAAAAAAACTAACATTGAAATAAAATAGTTTTTTTTCTTATGTGTCCCAAAGTATCATATTTGATACCACCTGAAAATCCTGAAATAGATATTTGTGTAACATTTAATTGAAAGTTTTGCATTAGTGTAACGTCAATTAGCCCAGTAAATAGAAAAACGCTGTTTAAATTCAATAATTTATAGTTCGGGTCCCAGGAGGATATGCCAAACAATTAATTAGTCTATCGTACTGATAAGGTTAGAAATTTACTAAAATTGAAACTTATATCAGTTAAAGGGTTCTGTATCTTATTAAAAGGACAACATTGCATAATTACTTTAAAAAATGTTTTGCTATATAATAGCAATAGAGTTAATATCAAGGCTTTGAGAGTGCCTTAATATATACGTGTTTATTATAGCCTATAGTCTCCAAATGTACTGTAAGTAAAAAAAAAATAATAATTTTATTGACAATATTTATATTTATTTATAATATATACCTATATTTTTATAGTAAATTGAAATAAGGTTAGATAAATGGCGTAAGTAAATAGATTATAATTTTTGTAGTTAGTTGAGAGATAGAGTTACCCTGAAAATTTTAGTGAGTATCTTACAGCCTGTCTGTAGACGGCCAATAGAGATCGCACGATGGGTTTCCCCAGCGAAAGCAAAAGAAAAAAAAAACATAATAAAAATGTGTGTTTGTTCTCTACGCATTCCTAAACCATCCTTAACCATTGATTCGATTGTGATGAAAGTCCGGTGGGTTATTCTGTAGGTATACACCTGCGAAGGTTCCTAGTGTAAAAAACTAATTTTTCTTTCGAATTTTGCCTTTTATGCATTCCTAAGCCATTCAAGCTTAGGGACGCACCCGAGCAAAGCGGGGGTAAGTCATTAAATAAAAGGGCCATACGATTTTTTTTTATTTAAAAATGATGACCTATAGGAAAAATAATATTGATTTAAGGCTTTCCTAAGCACTGTAAAAGGCCTTAAATAATATCAATAAATGATCTATGACAATGGTTTACTAAACATTTAATCAGTGTAACTCCATCGCACAACATAGGACCATATAATACCAAATTTCAGACTAAACAATTGTATAGAACAAGTCCGCAAAAAAATGTCAAAATCAATAATTACAGCGTGATTTGCTATTTGTGTTACTATTCTCGATTTTGCCATACAGGTCGGTTACTTTCTTTGGGGATTCTAAGCTTCTTACGGCGCCACAATTTGAAGTCGGATTTGTATAGATCTCGACGAAATAAGACGAAAAGTACCAAGAAAAGTACACAGAACATTCTATATATGTTTGTATAGATGTGAACCTCACACCGCTTATCCTTGTAGAAAAACCACATATAGCAGATACTATTAGATATTCGAGTATCGATATCTCGATTATTTTTCGAATCGATTTATATATCGAAATTTTTTACTTCTAGTTGAGTCTATCTGCAAACATAGTCAGGACCGCCCAAGCCATTATATTCGCTTCGATAGACCTCAAATCCTGGCGAAAGAAAACCGATATCGCCCTAGAATGATTCGAGAAGCCATAGAAATTAAAAAACATCCTAATTTCAATAGGGAAGATGGCTGGGTACTACCATCGTCATGGGATCCTGTTATTAATATAATAAAATCTAATAATAAATCTAAACATAACAGACAGGTAGATGTAGTAAGTTCTTACTGTGTAGATCAAAATGATAGCATTTCTGATTAATAATATTTTTTCACTTTTTCATTTGTAAATGTATGTAGTAATGTGTTGCTTAATAATTTGTTTTTTAAATAATAGCAAATTTAAATTAAAATTATTATTTTTAATTAATCTTAACTTTTTCAAATTACACATAGATCAATTGTGACTTAAATAATTAATATATTATGATTTTTTCTTTATGGTTATAAATATAATAATGGCAACACTAAAAATGTAGATTAATAATTAATATTTTTTTAAATTGTAATAATTATAATAATAACAGCTCAAATTAAATAAATAATATTATATATTCAATTATAAAGCTAATTAAAATTATATAAAAATGTTTAAAGTTAAAAGTTAAAACATTGTAAGGTACTTTAGTGCCATTTTTCAATTTTTTGAATTCATTTTGTTAATTGTGGGTAAGCTGTCTGTAACAACTATATAATACCTTAGAGACATCTAACACCTCAGTCTCTCCCGTGACCATGATTGCTGTAAAGCATTCGAAACGTCGGGAAACAAAAATGCAAATAAATCCGCGACAAAATCCGAAAAAATAGTTTTATTTAAAACTTTTTATTATAATTAGTATCGATCTGAATCCTAGCAACTATATAACTTCACTCGGAGTTTTTAGTCAAAAGTACAATTTTTAAATAAAAACTTGAATAAATATTAAAAAAAAAACAAAAGTAAAAACTTTTTATTCGCCTGGGATTCGAACGCGGACACCTGTGATTGTCAATTGTGCGCCTTAGCCGTTAGGCCACGATGCTTATTCCTAAGCGTGCCAATTTATATATACCACAACTCATAGCTGATATGATGATGGGAACAGGAGGTGGATAGTGGGACTCTTATATATTATAACATTGTTTACTATAACTGGGGAGATTTTAATGGACTAAGATTATGATTTAAAATTATACTCCAGTTTTAAATAAAAAACAAATTCATTTAAAGTTCCGTATCTTGGACCGCACGTTTTTTCCTCCTCTCTCGTTGTTTTTTAAAATATTCTATGGACGATCTGTTAAACAAAACTATTATCGCATGTGGAATTAATCTGTAGTCAAATAAAAGATCGAAATAAGCTAAGAAAGGCACCAGTATAGCTATCGAAATCACTACATCAGAAAGTATTGCTATACCGATCAAGGAAAGAGTACGTGTACCACCAGTACGTAATATTCTCTTCTTGCAGCACGGAACCACTGATGACATCACTTTCACTATAATGAGAAGATTCAGCGTCACTAGGAAGTACGCGCCAGCCAATGCAGCTTCCAGATTATCTCTTAAACCAAAAATATTGGGAATTACAATTTTTACTACTATCAACAGAATCGATAGAGTGCCGTAGCTAAAGGCAGCGGCTTTTCGTTTTCCGTAACTTATCTTTCCCGTAACCAAGAACACCAATCTTCCGTACGCCAAGATCGAAGCACAGAGAGACCAGCACATAGTTGCAGGCAGCAAAATTGAAGATAATGTGACAGATCCCCACAAACCAATATTTAAATGGATTACGCATAGTTGTAAAGTCCCGAAGACTATTTGGTGTATGCTTATGAAATTGTGCAGTGACCGCCATTTTGGATTCAAAATCCACACCAAAATTAAAATAATTGAACACAAAATTGATAAAATGGTTGGAATAACCGACTGGTTTAAAAACATTTTAAAATAAATCGGCTTCGAAACGCTTATTATATTCGAATATTTGTAACTAAATAACATTATAAATGCCAAACAATTATCTAATTAGTTTATCGTACTGATAAAATTATAAATTTACTAAAATTGAGACTAATATCAGTTAAAGGGTTCTGTAACTTATTAAAAGGACAAAAAATAAATAATAGAAGCTTTTGTTTATATAAACAACCCCTTGGTTACTTTTATTTATTAACATTTATTTACTTATCACAGTGATTTTTCTATCAATATTAGTACATATATTATTTTAAAACATTATTGTTTGTCAATGTCCAATGTTCTTTGTTCTGTAGCTTATAGGCGTGCCATTTGGGCACAATTTACTTCGCCAATGTCGTGTAGAATGGAGAAGACACGGTAGAGATTGAGAATTGATCGGTATAAAAAGAGATTTCACACTGATTTACACACTGTTTATATTATTCTTTAATCTGAGTACCAAACTTATTTGAAAATATATATTATTTAAACTAGTGACTTACCCTTGCTTTACTTGGGTGCATCTCTCGGTGCCTTTTACGATTTAATATAAAAACATCAACTTTTCTTAATATATTGGACTACAACTATAAATATGAAAATTTGCAGCTATGTGTGTATTTTTATTTGTTTTTCCTTCACGCTGCGACAGATGGACTGATTCAAATGTACATAGATAGATTTTTCCTATGACTTGGAGTAATACCATAAGGCACTTAGGGAAACATCCGAACGAAGCCGGGGTAAGTTGATAGCTAAAGGAATATAAATTTAAAATATGTACATATAAGCCATTTTTAACTATATTATTCCCTTCAATACGAAGATCAGGCCATGGTCCACCACGCTGGCCATGTACGGGTTAGCGAACTTCACATGTCTTCCGAAATCTTGCGAGGTCCTCTTTGGCAGGCAGGTTTGCTCAAGATGTTTTTTCTTCACCGTAAAAAAATTGGTAATCATATCGAAAATGATTCGCACATATAAATATCAGACGTGTGAGACCTGGGATTTGAACCCGGTTCATTTGGTTTTCCAATCGAGCGCATTATCACTGAGCTATCGCTGCCTCTAAAGTAATATAATAAAGTATAATTTAAGTAATATAAATTTTCTCCACGTCCATCATTCAGATATAAAGCTTGTTTTATTTGACTTTTTGGCCGATAATGTAAGTTTTCTTACAACTGATTCCAAGTGTACAGTGTTGTAAATCGCGGCACGTCGCGCTACGTGTATGCTGTACAGCATGCAACTTTGTACTCATGTTACCTAATATTCTCAGTAGTCAATAAAGCTTTTTAACATTAAATAAACTTTAAAAATAATACAATAAAAAATCCATACTTTAGTTTTATAAATGTGAAAGTGTGTTTGTTTGTTTGTCCTTTTTTCACGTCCTAACGGAATGACGTATTGGCATGATTTTTTGTGTGGAGATAGTAGGAAGCCTGGAGAGTGACATAGGCTAATTTTTACCGCGGGACATTATCTCATTCCTACGGGAAAACACGTTATAATACAGCCAAAAATATTATTTTTGATCAAAATTACTTGAAACTTGGTATTAATGATCTTCAATACAATTAAATAAATAGGTGTTTTAGCATTTTTCGAAATTCATCCCATAAGGGAGTAAAATAGGGGATAAAGTTTGTATGAAACCTACCTTTTTAGAGTTTTTTTTTTATTTTAGCGCGAGCGGAAGCCGCGGGTTCTGCTAGTTAATTTTAAAAAATAAAAATCCCGACTGTGTAAAAAACAAACTTAAAAGATGAGAACAGGTTGACAAAAGGAACATAGTATTTTGCAGTCAGACATACACACATGCAGCTATCATAAAACATATGTACAGAATACGAGTATGTCTCCGTACAAGTACATAGACTATACTAACTTTATTAGTAACAGCTACATATTTTACAAGTCACAATCTTAATTTCGACAAAATTGATATCTCATTACAATATCCCACGAGATCGGGTCAGTGATTTTTAACGGAGTTCTCGAATCAATTAATAGTTTAATTTGAATAATTGCGAGGTCTCCCTTTGATTGGATTTCTGTGTTTGACGTGTATAAATGTCATTATAAAAGGAAGATATAGCCTCGGGATAGTGAAGCAATTAATATATAATTATAATTATGGAATATAATTATAATTATGGAATATAATTATAATTATGGAAAAGTATTCCGAATTAAAGATTTATTATTATTAATAATGTGCCCACGCGAATTGTGAATTGGCTGAAAATTTGCCCCTTTTATTCTTGACGGCTTTAAGCTGAGGAATTAACGTATTCAGGTAATTTTTACTAGAAAAATTATCTTCACTTTCATATTTAGATACTACAATTCATACATCTTCATAAATAATATAACATAAAAAATTTCATTTGCTTATAAGGCATGAGCTTTTAAAATTTAGTTTGGTTATATCGAGCTGATATGATGATGGGATCAGGAGGTGGATAGTGTGACTCTTATATTATATTAAAATTTATAACATTATTACTATAACTGGAGAAATTTGAATGGACTATAATTATAATTTAAAATTATTTTACATATTATTATTTTTTAAACTCACCCAGAATATATCAATTAAAATTATACTTTACTTAATAAAATAACAAATTAATTTAAAGTTTCGTATCTTGGACTGCACGTTTTTTCCTCCTCTCTCGTTGTTTTTTAAAATAATCTATGGACGATCTGTTAAACAGAACTATTATCGCATGTGGAATTAATCTATAGAGAAATAAAAAATCGAAAGGGGCAAAGTAAGGCACCAGTATAATTATCAACAAAACTACATCCGAAAGTATTGCTATACCGATCAATGAAAGAGTACGTGTACCACCAGTACGTGATATTCTCTTCTTGCAGCACGGAACCACTGATGACATCACCTTCAATATAATGAGAAGATTTAGCAACACTATGAAGTACACGCCAGCACAAAAACTTTCCAGAATATCCCCTCTTAAATCAAAAATATTCGGAATTACAATTTTTCCTAATATCAGCAGGATAGATAGAGTGCCATAACTAAAGGCAGCGGCTTTACGTTTTCCGTGACTAATTTTTCCCGTAACCAAGAATACCAGTCTTACGTACGCCAAGATCGAAGCACAGAGAGACCAGCACATAATCGCGGACAGCAAATATAAAGATAAAGAGAGACTGAGTTCATTATTTAAATGGATTACGCACAATTGTAACGTCCCGAAGACTATTTGGTGTATGCTTATGAAATTGTGCAGTGACCGCCATTTTGGATTCCAAATCCACACCAAAATTAAAATAATTGAACACAAAATTGATAAAGTTGTTGCTATAACAGACTGTATTATTAACATTTTAAAATAAATCGGCTCAGAAACGCTTATTCTATACGAATCTTTGTCACTAAATAACGTTGTACCAGTATATGCTAAATAATTAATTAGTCTATCGTACTGATAAAGTTAGAAATTTACTAAAATTGAAGCTTAATCAGTTAAAGGGTTCTGTAACTTATTATAAAAATAAAAAAAACCGACTTCCAGGCACTAAAAGGTAAAAAATAACTTAACCGGGGCTTCATTTAGAGTTGATACTTAATCAGATATTTTTAAACTAGATGCCAGCCGATGCAAAGCAAATCTAATATATTTCGATACGTAATTTTTAATTTAATTACAAATTGATGTATGATATTTTAACCATAATTAGAGTTCATGCCTAATCATATTTACCTATTAGACATTCATATCTTAAAATATTTTAATCTATACATATAATAAAACAGTAGAGGTCGAATGTCTGTACATAGAAAAAAATGCTAAAAAACCGAGTCAGGAGGATGTAAGGATGTAAGATGAGAAATAGAACAAATCCAGATTTTTTCAATTTTTTTGTTGCTCTGTTTGTCTGTTTGTTTGTTTGTACGGGCTAATCTCCGAAACTGTTGGACCGTAAAACTGTAAATACCGTTAGATTATAATCTATCTCTCGAGATTATCTGAAATAGCCTAGGTAATAGGTATATCTTGTGATATACTAATAGAATGAACCTGTTATTATAGATTAAAAATTTCACTCTCAGGAGCTTATCTCCCTAACTACTAAGCCCAGAATTCCAAAAAAATAAGATAATATAATACTGTGTTGTATTAACTTGTGTTTTCCTCATCTTAATGGTAGTTCTTATAGTTTATAAGATAAATATAAGGGAATCCCTAGGATGAACGCTCCTTATAATTTTTATTACATACGGAATCCTCCTCCTTTCAAGTCCAAGTCCCACTTAGCCATTTTTATATTGAACCTAGCATTGCCCGCGGCTCCGCCCGCATTCAGATGACCAAAAACCAAATTCTTAGGTTTTACATATTAGTATACTCGTACATTGCAGTTTTTGTATTTTTTCTCACAAATGAGATATTTTCACGCGGTAAAAAGTATTCTATATGTTAACCCGGATAACCAGCTATACCATACCAAACTTCATCAAAATCCCTCCAGTGGTTTTTCCGTGATGCGGTAACAGACAGACAAAAATTCTAAAAACTATAGATTCGGCTTCTGTATCGATAATAATGTATATTTCAATAAGATTTTCCAAAAATACTTAATGTTCAGATTCGGCTTAGTTACAATTCTATTATGTATATGTATAGATTACAACATAAGTAAGGAAAATTAGTGTACCTAGTAGTAATGTTGTACATTTTACATTTTACTATTAACATTTAGTGATATCAATCATCATAGGAGGT